TTAAGAATCTTACCTTTATTCTTCTGCGTTCGAGAGATTTCTCTCTCTATCTCTGCTATCTTCTCCAGAATCCCCATTTTCACTCAAGTGTGATATATTGCTTATGTGAAGCCTGTGAACATTACAGCAGTGTGAAATAAAGCATGTCAGTCATATTGCACAGACCATCTGCTCTCTGGCTACGTTGTCAGTAGTAGTAGGCTAAGCTAGCAGGCACTTCTATCAAACACTATTGCAGATTAAGCTGTCATTCACATATTATGCCAAACGGCTACTTTTATAAATGTAACTCTTCAGAAAGTATTAGATATTGTCATTCGTGTATTTATGGAAGTGAATGTTTTGATAATTACAGTTTTAAGCAGCACGAACTCTGCAGCATGGACTGCTGGTGACTGACAGTGCTGCAGCGAAATTGCTCCGATGTGAAACCAATTCTTTGATATTTAATTCCTGAACATATATTTTAATATAGTACTTAAATTTAGTGTGAAATGCCAGATATAATATGTTTACCCGTTGTTGACATACTGTAGATAATTGACATAAGGTCAACACATGATCTACAACAAACGTTCCTATGATGCATAACAGCGGTTGGATTTCGATTCTGACTCATTTCTACGAATCGATTCAATCGAACAGTCGTTTCAAAGAATCGTTTTCATTATTCTTTTACCTCAGCCCATAATTTACGTCGTCCTTTTATCCATTTATCGTTCTAATAAAGCCACGTGAAGGCAAATATCGCTGTTTATGAATAATTCAGATCAGTTGTGTGAATCGCTTAAGTTAGCACACTCAATCAGAAGATCCGGCTCAACATAACGATTCATTCACCTCGGAAATACACAGGGTTGCCAAGTCCCTGGTTTTACAGCAAAATAGGGAGATCTCAAACTTGCTTCTATTAAAATATTTAACTCTATACAATTTATATGACTGACAAGGAGACTGTGTACAGTAATATATGACAAAGATCAAGGAGCAGAGTGGCATCAGAAAAAGATCTTAAAACTGTAAATAGTTAAAAATATAAATAGTTATAAATAGTTATTTTCAAGTAGGCCTAGTTAAGAAATAAAAGATTACCACCCCACCAAATAATTTTATTTACCAGCTGTTAATATTAATGTTTCATGTATGAAAACAGACTTTGTAAAATTGTTTGTTGTACGTTGTAAAATGTGTTCAATGAACACGGTAAAATATGTATTTTAGGTATGGGAGTGGCATGTTTTAAGTTTTGATATTTGAACTAGTTTGTTTTCCAGTTTTGATTTGACGAAGACAGGAAGGTTTAAGGTGGCGAGAGAGGCGGTGGGGATCATGGCGGCTAATTCAAACAATCTAAAAAATACGAAGAATAGATCTCGAGGAAATCGAATTGGGAATGGATCAGAGACTCTAAGGCTGATGATACACAGGGCAACTTTTTGAGCAATGTTACCAAGCAACTTTGGGCAATGTTGCCCTCAACGGCTAACCAGGTGAGACACAAGGCCCACGACCAATCTAAAGTATCCAGATTGAAATCTGTTACCCATCCTCAATGAGAAAGTGCCCAAGCAACATTGCTCCAAAAAAGTTGCCCGGCAAAATTGCTCAAAAAGTTGCCCTGTGTATCATCAGCCTAAGAATGGATGATACAGGTGAAGAGGAGGATTATATGGAGGTAGCAACAACGAACTTAGGAAACTGGTCGGCGAGATAGCATTTGCAAAAGTGCTACAAGATGGTGCTTTATTGATGGCCTGTGTGAATGAAGAGCAGAAAAACAAAGCTATAAAACTAAAAACAGTGGGAAAGCAGACGGTGATGTGCTTTAAGATTGTTGGACAGAAGTCATGGGTGTATGGTGTGATAAATGGATTTCCGGTAGGAGTTAGTATGGAGGAATTAAAAAAGAATCTAGATGGAGGAAAGGTCATTGATGCAGTCTGTTTGCAGATGAATAGAGAAGGGAGGAGAGTGGATAGTTTGAAGGAAAATAATTGTCAGATCGGATTAAGATGGGTTTTGTCAGCTACCCGGTTAGGGAGTGTATAGCTCCTCCGTTGAGGTGTTACAATTGCCAGAGGTATGGGCATACTGCGTCAGTGTGTAAATCTAAAACAAGGTGTGTGTCACGTTTAAAAAAGAAGGAATGCCTTGTAGAGTTTTGGAGAAAGGGGTAACTATCGAGTATGTAGTTGTAGAAGTATGGTTTGTAATGAAGAATTTTGTCATAATTAACTTTTATAATCCATGTAAAAGACTGACACAGAACAGTATGGAAGAAATAAAAGGATTAAGTGGAGAAAGAGTCATATGGTGCGGTGATATTAACGCCCATAATACTTTATGGGGTGGATTATCAACAGAAACAAATGGTCTAATCATTGAAGAGGTGATAGAAAAGAAAAACTTGGTTTGCATAAATGATGGAAGTTACACTCGTTTGGATGTCATGTAAATACAGGTAGGGAATCAACAATAGACCTAACAATTGTTTCAAATACGTTGGGTGGAATTATGAAGTTTAAGTGATGAATCATTGAGAATAATTCTGGAATTTTATAACAGGGTATGGGAGGAAGGGGTTTTACCCCAGGGTTGGAAAGAGGCGTTAATTATCCCTATAAAGAAACCAGGTAAAGATCCAAGTAATCCTCTAAACTACAGGTCAATAGCTTTAACTTCACATTTATGTAAATTAATGGAAAAAATGATTACAGACTGATTGATGTATAATATGGAGAAAAATAATTGTTTTCTCTCCATATCAAAGTGGTTATAGATGTGGAAGAGGAACAATGGATTCAATTATTAATTTAGAATCAGATATTAGGAAAGCTTTGATCAATAAAGAAATAATAGTAGCAGTTTTCTTTGATGTAGAGAAAGCTTATGATATGTCATGGAAAGAGGGTTTGCTAATTAAATTAGATCAAATTGGAATAGGTGGAAGAATAATTGGATTAAAGAGTTTTTAATTGAAAGAAATATTGAAGTAAAGGTTGGGGATTATATTTCAAGGAAGGGAATTATTGACAATGGCACTCCGCAAGGAAGTGTCATAAGTCCTTTGTTATTTATAATTATGATTAATGATGTATTTGCAATAATAGAGGGAAATATTAATAAATCTTCGTTTGCAGATGATGGAGCTTTGTGGCTTAGAGGTAGGAATGTCGAGTACATTGTTAATAAAATGCAATCAGCTTTAATGAAGGTTGAGAAATGGTCTATAAATGGGGTTTTAAATTTTCTGTAGATAAAACCAAATATATTTTCTTTACAAATAAGAGGAGAAGTATAGATTTAAAGCTGAAATTATATAAGAAAGAGTTAGAACAAGTTAAAGTGATAAGATTTTTAGGTATGTGGTTTGACGCAAAAGTTACATGGAATACACATATAAATAAGATGGAGGAAAAATGTAAAAAGATTTTGAATGTAATGAGGTGTATTTCAGGACGTGAGTGGGGAGCCGACAGACTGGCATTAAAAACCATTTATTCAACAATGATTAGATTAATACTATACTATGGATGTATGGTATACGGATCAGCAGCTAAGTCACAGTTAGGAAAATTAGAAAGAATTCAATCACAAGCTTTGAGAATTTGTTGTGGAGCTTATCCTTCCTCCCCAGTTCCAGCGTTACAGGTGGAGATGGGGGAAATGCCAGTTCACTTAAGACGGAAACAACTGTTATTGACATATTGGGCAAGCTTAAAAGGCCAAAAGGATAATCACCCAGTAAAAGGACTACTTGAGGCATGTTGGGAGCATGGGAAAAGGAAAGTCAATAGTTTTGGTAGGATCATTGCGGATTTAGTGCAGGAGATGGAACTAAATGAGCACAGAGTTATTCCAACGGTAATTTTACCAACGACACCTTTATGGATTTTACCACAACCAAAAATTGACTTATTCTTATTGGCAACAAGACAAGATAAAGGACAGGAGTTACTAGAGGCAGAATTGACAAAAGAATATTGGAACTAATTATGAACAGTTTGTACAAGTTTTTACAGATGCATCTAAGGATCCACAGAATGGTCAGGTGGGAGTAGCGTACATCATCCCAAGGTTGAAAGTGTCTGGAGGGAAAAGAATATCAAATCATGTATCAGTGTTTACAGGAGAGTTGCTAGCAATTTGGATAGCAGTGAATAAAATATATGAAATGGGGATAAACAAAACACTCATTCAAGTTCAGCCTTATATTATGCCTGGATGCTCAACAGTCTGAAACTAGACAAGATATTGTCTTGGAGATCCTTCAGTTGTTATATATGTTGCAGCAGACAAATAAGATCTTGTGGGTTCCAGCACATACAGGAGTGGCAGGGAATGAGGAAGCGGACCAATTAGCAAAACAAGTAATGGCAAAGGAAAATATAGATATGCAATTTCAGTAGGCTACATTAAAGCTGAACTTAAGTCAATAATTAAAAAGGTGATAAATAAAAATTGGCAAATTATGAGCAAAAGGTCAGGCATCTATATTCAATACAACCAATGGTAGGTAGAAGAAGGAATTCAAGAGGGAGAAGAAAGGATGTGTTCTTTCAGGACATACAGGACTTAATTCAACATTGCAAATAATAGGAAAACATCCAACAGGAATGTGTGACTGGTGCGGAGTCAGAGAAACAGTAGAACATGTACTTATTTAGTGTAATAGATATACGGAGGAAAGAAGTAAACTAATCGATGACCTCCAGAAGAACGGTGAGCAGAGATTTTGATTTAAAAGAGATTTTGAATCAAGTAGGAGTATTAGTCTGTTAATAACTTTCTAAAAAGAACTCAGTTAATTCATAGAATATAAATAATTATTATTATTATTATTATTATTGCTATTCCTCTTCTCTGGGCTGGGAGGGACTTGGGCTGTAGATGGAGGAGCTGCAGCAACATCGAAAGCTCGAGTCCTAATAGGTCTGGGGAAAGGGGATTTAAGTCTCTGATCCATTGCCTTAGTAGATGGCGGTAATGCTCAATTTGTGACTGCGATCCGCCAATAAAAACGAGTAAGAAGAAGAAGAAGAAGTTTGTTTTCAAGCTTGTTTTGATAATGCTGGATTTTTTTAGCGGAGATCTGGCAACCCTGGTAGTACCACATCGTGCGATTTTAAACATGGCAGCTCCTGCCGGGTCGCGGTCCTCAACGCATAATACCGCGGGTATGGAGGGCTTCCCGTTCCCCGTGGCTGGCAGACCGCCCGAGGAAAGCACGAGTAAGGATCAGACCACTACCGGAGAGCCGAAAAAGAAACCGTGCCGAGCGTGTACGGATTTTAAATCATGGATGAAGTTGCAGAAACAGACGTCCTCCGCTTCAGTGCAGGTGAACAGAATATGATCTGACAGTCAAACTATAATTTAAAATCTACGACATCCCAGAGTCAGGAGAAGTCAAATATCTGTGATAATAACACAATTAGACTGCATGAAATAAACGCATCGTTGCTGAACTTGTTTTGAAAAGTGTATCTGCAAAGGTTTGGATTTTTGACATTTCAAAATGTCATTTAAAGGGGTCATATGATGCGATTTCAATTCACAACAACTCTGTGACTGTTCTTGAATGGCCCAGCCAGAGCCCTGACTTAAACTCAATTGAGCATCTCTGGAGAGACCTAAAAATGGCTGTCCACCAACGTTTACCGTCCAACCTGACAGAACTGGAGAGGATTTGCAAGGAGGAATGGCAGAGGATCCCCAAATCCATGTGTGAAAAACTTGTTGCATCTTTCCCAAAAAGACTCATGGCTGTATTAGATCAAAAGGGTGCTTCTACTAAATACTGAGCATTTTTCAGTTTTTCTTTTTTAATAAATCTGCAAAGATGTCAACAATTCTGTGTTTGTCTGTCAATATGGGGTGCTGTGTGTACATTAATGAGGAAAAATTAACTTAAATGATTTTAGCAAATGGCTGCAATATAACAAAGAGTGAAAAATTTAAGGGGGTCTGAATACTTTCCGTACCCACTGTATATATATATTTAGGGGAGTGAGGAAATCTATTGTTACAATTTCGACAGTTGTGGTTATACTCTTTAAAAATAATGGTTACTATAATAAAATGCCATAGTTTGTTACAGTGGTTCTCAACCAGGGCCCACAGCATACTTCCAAGGGGGCCTCAGGGTGACTTTAAATTAATTACCTTAATACATTATTAATACATTATCAATAATATTATTTTTATTATTAATAATTATAGTAAGTGTATAATGTAATAAAATATAAATAGAATAATAAAATAACTAAGCTTTTATATAAATTCAAATGCTAAACAAAATCAAGATGAAAAGTGAAAACATATTGTTTTCATTTAGGGATGTACACACATCACAAAATCAATTGTGGTTAATTAATATCAATCAGTACTCCTAATTTCTGTTAAGAAGAATAGTTTGAAATAGTTTGCAGAATATTATGTTTAAAACAGAGATGCCAATCATGGTTATGGTTACTTTTCCAGAGCTATAGCTCAGCTGCCAGAGCATTGCATCCACCCAGAGTCATAGGTTTGATTCTTAGAAAACACATCGTCTGATTTAAATGTATACCTTATGTATAAATATAAATGTGTAAATGGCTCAGTAGTACAGTCAGTAAACAGTCATGTGATATTTTGAACAGGAGAGCAGGGCGGTGGAGGAGGCTAGGCCTGTTGAATGCCCTCTGGACAGAGAGGAACTGGGCAGGAGCTCATGGTCTATTCTTCACACTATGGCTGCATATTATCCAGACGCACCGACCACAGAACAACAGGGGGAGATGACACAGTTCATCAATCTCTTCTCAAAGGTTTTCCCATGTGATGAATGTGCAGAGGACCTGAGATCAAGGTTGTCATCATTTATTGTTGAGGTTTTTATCTTTGTCCTTTAGCATTTCAGCAGAAGCATTGCAGTGTTAACCTTTGTGTTTGGTTGCATATGTTTTAATGATCTTGTCTCTTATCAGATTGAAAACGAATCAACCAGACGCTAGCAGTCGGCACAACCTCTCACAGTGGATGTGTCGCCTCCATAATGACATCAACATCCGATTAGGCAAGCCAGAGTTAGCAAGACATTTGCATGCTTATTTGCCGTTAACAAATGTGGCAAGGATAGGCTATAGTATTATGTCCCGGATGCTATAGCTTAGTTTTCTCACATTGCTTTCCTTATCATGAAAAATACATTTTTATCTATGCATTATCATTTGTGTTAAGACTATAATGAGAATGATAAAGCCAGACTGCATGATTGTTTAGGAATTACACTCATTCATGTGAAGTATGTTGTGATAGTCAAAACAATGTCGTTCCAAACCTGAATGACACTGTTTGTTGTTTGGACCCCTAATGTTCTTCAACATTTTCTTTTGTGTCCCCATTGACTTTAATTATACGCAGTTTATAAATATCTTGTTTTGCGTTCCACTGAAGAAAGAAAGTAATAGATTTTGGTTAACTATCATTTTTATGTGATAATGGTTTGGTTATGGAACTGTTCTCTTCAAATAGTACTCTTTCCTTGACTAAATATTCTGCATGCTTCCCCAAAATGTTCCATTTGTTGGCGAAGTTGAAGTCCTGCTCTATGAAGTTAGCGGTCTCCCAGCTGAGGACGAGATATCGTCGGTAGATGTTGCTGTTTAGACAATGTAATGTACAGAATCATAGAGAGAGTGCGCACGCCTCTGACAGGCAGTGGGGTGTGTGTGTGTGTGTGTGTGTGTGTGTCTGTGTGCCTACCTCGA